TTGTGGTTATTGATGCTACCTGATGACTATTGTTGATGCAATGAATTATGTTAATTGAAATCCTAATGTCTAAACATCACTGAGTTCATGAAGTGATAAGTCCTATGTAGTCTTAGGGAGGGCAGTTAATAAGCCTTACATTTTTTAAATTACTCAAAACTTCCTTTTCTTCACTCTGCTTCTGTCCCACCCCTCCCTTACCCACCCTCTGTGGCAGGTTCCTCCATTAAGAATATGCCTTGTCGGCCCTCATGGCTGTGGCAAAACTACATGTGGAAGACAGTTGGCAGAAAAGTTGGGCATTTTTCACATTCAGTTTGAAGAAGTTCTTCAAGAAAAATTAATGTTCAAAACTGAAAAGAAAGTTGGACCTGAATTTGAGGAAGATTTGGAGGAAGAACTAGCTGTGAAACAAGAACTTGAAGAGCTTGCAATTCAGGCCAATGTTAAAATTGAGGAAGAAAACACAAAAAAGCTGGTAGTAATATTAATCTCTTTACAGAAAGCTGTACTTACTGGTGTTACTTTGGGGAAGTAGAATAAGGTAGTATAACACTTTATAAAGTTTCTGAGAAAAAAATTAATCTATAAATGTCATTTAAAGAATCATCCTCCCTATATGTTAAATACAGATCTCCCTGCTCATCTAGAATATAAAATACTGAGTTTAACATGACTCCGATAAAAATAAAAAAAGCTTCCCCTAACTAAAGGGAGGGGAAGGCATGCCTTTAACCCACATTTAGGTGAGGCAAAGACATAAAGTGTAACTACAATGTTTGTACCCTCACAATACCCTGGAATAATAATAATAAAAAAAAATAGCAAAGATCATGAAAAATAAAAAAAAAAATCTTCCCCTAATAATACTGTTGTACAGAATTTATTTGAGACTATGTAATTTGATATGCCTGTCCTAGACAATAAGGTTTTCCACTATTTTGTTTTCTATTTTATATCACATATCATAAAAATCTTCCCTAGCTCCAATGGAGATCTCAAAATATTAATTTTTAATGTTGCCTTACCAGAAAGTTTGTATGTATCTTTTAGATGGTTTCTATCCGGAGTTGTAAAATGATAGTTCTTAATTCCAACTCACACTTTAACTACTTCTGATATAGCTAGACCATTTCATTCTCAAATGATCCCCTGTAGATGGACCCAGGTGTGAGCAGGGTTGGACAGAGACATCTGGTATCCTAACAGGTAATGGGGCATGTTGGAATATAGAATTAAGAGACATGGAAAGTTTTAGGAGTTTCGCAGGGCTTTGCCTTGAAGGAATCTGTGAGTGTGTTAGTTCACAGACCAGAAGCTGCTTAGCAACAAGGGGGGCATATCACTGATCAGGGGCGACTGCAAGGCAATGCCTGTCTCAAGACCTGAAGGCCAGTGCCTAGAGCTTGTGCAAGGCAGAGCTCAGCATGGGGTCACAAGTTAAGGACTGATCAAAGAATGCCAGCCCAGTAGACACCTGCAGCTAAAACCAATTAGCCTCAAGGACAGTACCTGCTTCACTCCTGACCACATGTCTCAGTTGATGAGAAAATAGATAAAGAAATATGTGGTCTCTATATTTCTGTTTTAGCTTTCTATTAATTGGCAATTTTATCTTTAACTTGTATGCTCAGCTAGGTCTATTCTTAACTTAGGGCTTAAGAAGTTTGTCTTAGAAAAATTTTGTAACTGTTTGCTCACATAGAATTAATTAAGGGATCTCTAGAAACCTTTGGGGAGCCTTGAAACCTTAATGAATGATCTGTACACATAAATCTGTAACCAGTAACAACTAATTGCTGTAACAATAAATACTGATGTGGGATTTCACTCAGTGCATCCTGCCTCACGGGAATGCTGGAGGACCCCTGACTCCCCCATCACTTTAAACTACACTTTGTCTCTGTTTCTTTTATTTCCAAATCTCTTGCAAGGATCCTGCCTGGGACCTGTTTTGCTGGGAGAGTAGCTAGCTCCCAGCAGGGGCACTCCTTCAAACATATTCTTTAAATGTTTTCTACCTATATTTAGTAGAATCAGGGAGAAACTGATATTCTGTTAATTTAAAAAATGTACATAAATCCAGGTTTTTCAATTTAACAGGTCTGGATTTTAAAATGCAACAAATATTTTCTGCTTTTCTGTAGTTTTTTTTT